CGAGTGTGAGCAGGGTGTGGGGAGAGAGTTTTCATCTACGGAATTGAAGGGTGGGGGGACACAGGGAAAAGAAACAGCACTCGGACACCAAAAGAGGGCTTCCGACCCCCCAATCCCACCCCACACCCCCATCCCCCTTCAGAAGCGGAAAGTATAACGTTAAGGAAAAAGCCAACCAGAGCTCTTGCACACACACTCCCCCACCCAAGTTGAAAAAAAAAAAAGGAAATAAAATAAAGAGAGGGAAAAAATAAAGAGGGAAACCCCAAACCCTTTTACAATCCTTAAACGACGCTGCAGTCTTCTGCTGGCAGTTTTGACTATGCGCAAGCTCTTTCCATCCACTTTCTAGCAAATATGTCAAGCTGGAAGATTAATTCATTAATTTCAAGTTCAGCTTGCAGACGTGCAGTAAGCGCAAGAAGTTCTTGCAGCAAACCAAAATAAAGAGTTCATTACAGGGATACGTCCAGAGAATTTGATTTGTGAACGGCAACCCTTGTAAAATAAGAAAAAGGCATATAAACATTAATGCTAATAAATTAGTTTATTCCACTGCAAAGTAATTACTTGATAATACTGAATTTACAGCTTGAATTCAAACGCAATAGTTAACTGTAATGTAGGGAAAATACATAATGAGAATATTTTCTCTGTGCACAACATGATTAGATTTGTTATTAAGTCAGTTACGATAAGCTAAGCAATAAATAAACAAATCGATGTTGACATTTAAATACCGAAGATCTCCAGAATTTACTGGAGAACTTTCTCCGGATATATAAATACTTCCACAACACTGCAGAGGAAGAGGGGGGAAAATCCAAATATTCCTTCCCTAACGTTTTCGTTTCCCTTCCATTAGCCTCCAAAGTCCACGGGGACATGGATCTTGAACTACATCTGATTTCCTAAGAGCACAGACTTCACAATAGCCTTTTGCCGTTCTGTTTTTCTATTTTGATGAAATCCAGCCGGAACCCAAATATTTCTTTTCTGAAATCGAGCATCAGAAGAGCAAAAAAATATTTTCTCCGAGAGCCTAGGGATGTCCATGCCTCAAAAGGTGCTGTATTCTTTGGCGTATTTCTATGTTTTCTTTGGCTCTGCTCATTCGGTGGGCTGTGCATTTTTATTGGCAGAGAAGTACTTTTTAGTCTCTGCCCTGTTCAATCCGCTTTCTATATCATCCCTTTCATGCAACAATAGTAAAAGTTTAACCACGATTTTAAAATAGGTCTCCCTGGGTCTCAGCCTTCAGCGACGGTACGAAGCAAAAAGGAAAGTATCTCGGTACGGCAAGTTTGTTCCTAGGGGTTAACAGTATGTCAAATAATTTTAACTAGGCTTCTGGCAATTAAACTCTACGTATTTGTCAAACTAGGGTAGCCCAATCTCCATTGATTTTCCAAGTATTTGGCGGCAGCGTTGAGGCGGAGAGATCAGCAAACACTCTTAGCTCCGTGGTCTGCAATTTAAAGGGCTTTCTGGAGTTGCGAAGGAGGCAAGGGACTGGGGGGGGGGGGGGGGGAACCTGCGTCCTGGGAACCCGACGTTGTTAACTACCTCCAGCAAAGCTTGACTGAAGCCGAGCGGGGTATTTGAGGTTAATATGTAAGTAAGGGAAGGAAGACACTAAGCGCTTCGGAAGTGAACATGAATGCAAGCATGTAATCTATTCACCATGAAAATCAGTACAGACTTGACCCTGGCACATTCTTCCTAGTTTCAAGAAAAACCCTGCGGGGCGAGGGCTTTTCTTTTTTTTTTTTTTTTTTTTTTTTTTGAGGTGTGATAACTCCAACCGAACTAAACCAAACGGGTAAAAAAAAAAATGGGGTGTGGGGAAATAAGCCCCCGGTCGGTTCCTTGAGGAGCGTTTCCTGCTCGGCAGCAGCTCTCCAGCAGGAGCCATGCCTGGATCTCTGCCGTGCCCTCCGCCCGGAGCCTGCCGTCCGTCCGGAGAACGCCCCAGCCCGCACACGGCCAGCGGGAAGGTCTCACCCTGCCCTGGTGAAACCGCTAAGGCTGTGCCCCAGCGCCAGCTGGCGGCTCGGTCCGAGCGGCCCGGTCCGGGACTTCGGCAGTGGCCCGGTGTGTCCGTGTCCCCCGGGGCTCCCCCCCCCGCGCTCGGCTCGCCCCTGGGCGCCGGCGACGAGCTGTTGCTTCCCCCCGCGCTGGCCACAAAGGGAGCGGGGCCCGGACCCGCCGCTCGTCAATGTCAACGTCGGGCCACGTGACCACACCTCCCTGCCGCCGCCGGGGAGAGCTTTCCACGTCAGCTTACGTCTCCCCATCTCTTACTTCACGGATCTGCTTCAAAGAGGCAGCTGCGTTAGAGAATCATGTTAAGCTCAGCTAATGCGGAGAAGCCGAGGTAGCCCTAATGATGGATTTTGATGAGCGTGTTCCTTGTTCCTCTAACATGTATTTGCCAAGTTGTACTTACTACGTCTCGGGTCCTGATTTTTCCAGCCTCCCTTCTTTTTTGCCCCAGACCCCGTCTTCTCGCCCTATGACATACTCCTACTCCTCCAACCTACCCCAGGTCCAACCTGTGAGAGAAGTTACCTTCAGGGAATATGCCATTGATCCCTCCAGTAAATGGCACCCCAGGAACAATCTGCCCCACTGCTACTCCGCAGAGGAGATCATGCACAGAGACTGCCTGCCTGCCACCAACACTGCTAGCATGGGCGAGATGTTCGGCAAAAACACAGCTAACGTCTACCACCCCAGCAGCAACGTCTCCTCCAATTTCTATAGCACAGTGGGCAGGAACGGGGTCCTGCCCCAGGCTTTCGACCAGTTTTTCGAGACGGCTTATGGCACGGCGGAAAACCTGGCCTCGGCGGACTACTCGGTAGACAAGAGTGGCGAGAAGGCGCCCGCGGCCGCCGGGGCGGCGGCGGCAACTTCAAGTTCGGAGGGCGGCTGCGGCAGGGCGGCGGCGGCGGCGAAGGAGAGGCAGAGGCGGCCGGAGAGCAGCAGCAGCCCGGAGTCATCTTCCGGCAACAATGAGGAGAAATCCGGCAGCTCCAGTACGTATAAAGGCAGCGCCCGAGCGCTTTTAGGAAAGGCAGCTTGAAATCTAGCGCACCGCCGCTGTTAAATTTTTATATGCTGTTTTATAAGCATATAAGGTTTATGAAGGGCCTTTAGATTTCCCCCAACAAAACTTTGTTATAAAAGGCGAGATCACGTGTTTAGTGCTGAAATTGGCCGTGAAATACCCACCGGGTAATGGATGCCTTAAAAAAAAATTCTCTCTCTTTACTTTTTTTTTTTTTTAATAATAATAAAGAAGAGCTCTGTGGTCAGCTCTCGAAAATATAATAACGTCCGTTCGGTGTCTGTAAATTCGGAAAAAAAAAAAAAAAAGAAAAGAGGAGATCCCGACTCCTTTGATATCAATGTAATCCAGTGATTTTATAAAAGCCATGTGTTGCACCAGAAGTCTAGTTAGGAGCTGAATTCAAAGCCTTAGCCGTTTTAACGATTGCACTAGAATAGCGTTTAACAGATAAAGTAGCCGCCTGAACTGCAGCAATATATTAAAAGAAACAAATTAACCTAAAGCTGGCCTTTTTGTCTAAAGGAAGCCATTTTACTAAAGCACTGTGGCAATTATGTGTTGCCTTCTGTCCAACAGTTTGTTACTTACAATTGTTATTCAATCTGTCAAAGTCTGATTTTTTTATGTGGGCTTCTTAAAAGGCAAAGCCAAGATATGGCTAGGGGGAAAAATACCTCGACAATGAACTGTACCAGAAAAGGAAGTTTTTAAACGGATAGGAGCTAGGTTTAACGTAAAGAGCTCCTGAACCCTGAAACCTTTTATATTCTGCTTAATGAACTTTAAAACCGTAATGACTAATCGAGAGGAGAATACCTCGATGTTGCGGAGAGCATGCTTCAAAATAGCCGGCTGGGGGAGAATGATGCGCCTTGGCCCTGGGCTCAGGGCTTTTTTCCCCTGCTGGGGATTAACCTAGGGAAGGAGGGCGAGATCCGAGCGGGTACAGGCTCAAAGAAGGCTGGGCGCGGGATCCCCCTGCCCGCTGCCGCCCTGCCAGCAGCAAGCAGCCAGGTGACGGCTGCTCCCTGGGCAGCTCCGTGTGCACGGCGCCCAGCGAAGTACTCTACAAAGGCTTCCCTCCAGGTCGTGAAACCCGCAGGAACCCCCCACCACCAGCCCTTCCTCCGGCCGCCCGCCTCACCGAGGCAGTGAGGCCGGATCCCTGCTACCCGCTGGGGCTTTCGCCCTGCCTGACACCTGGGGCAGAGGCTGATCCCGGCTTGTCCCGCTCCCTGGCTGCCACCACCGGCCAAGGCGTGGGGCTGGCGCCCAGCCCCGGACCTGCCACCGCCAGCCCTGGAGCGGGCAGAGCCCTTCTTTTCCCTGTTAACGTGTTTTTTTGGACTGTGCCCCCCCCCACCTCTCCTCAGCCCCCCGCCAGGTCTCAAATGCTTCTGCCTTTTTTCGCTCCACAGGTGGACAACGTACCCGTAAAAAGAGATGCCCATACACCAAATATCAGATTAGGGAGTTAGAAAGGGAATTCTTCTTCAGTGTCTACATAAACAAAGAGAAACGCCTCCAGCTCTCCCGAATGCTCAATCTGACCGACCGCCAAGTGAAAATATGGTTTCAAAATAGAAGAATGAAAGAAAAAAAAATTAACAGGGACCGATTACAATATTACTCAGCTAATCCACTACTTTAAAACTCATAGCATTTTTCAAGACGAGATTAAATTCAGATTTCGCCCTTGACAAGGTCAAGCCACGGGGTTACATGGAGGGAGGAGGTGTGTATCTGACGGGACTAGAAGAATCCAAGGTTTTACATACATGTAAATCTACTCTGGAACTTCAATGGTGATTTTACATATATCGATATATTTACATATCAACTGGAATCAATTTGATTTTGACACACATGGCACCCATTTTGGAGCGGGCACGTCACCTCTGGGGGCAAAATCCATACCTCTTACCTTTCCAGGCACTGCTACTCACCCTGCTACCGCTTTCGGGGGACACAGACCGGGGGACGGCATCCTTCTGTCCCCGGACTCGCCCATTCCCTGCCTTCCTTCTCCCCTGGGCGGCTGCGGACCAGGGTCTGGAGATTGCCAGGTCGAGCTCACCCACCTAGGACCACTGCAGAATACAAACTCTGAGAAAAAACCTTTTGTTCTTCCTTAGCAGAAAATATGTCTAAGTTAGAGGCAGTGCTCTACTGCCCGTGTGTTTGAAAGGAGAATTTGAGGGGACGCACACCCAACACAGAGAGAATTAAAGGGAGGGGGGGATGACATGCCTACACCTTCACAAGCCAACCGCGAGCAGTTGTAATGTGGATGTAGTGATGGTTCTAATAATGTTTCCTTTGGGGGTGTGGGGAGGAAAGGGCTAGGGGAAAGAAAGAGAACTAAATGAAAGACTTAATTATTTACTGAAAAAAAAAATATCAGGTATAAATTCGCCATATATCGTAAAGAAACAATCACTGAAAGAAGAAATTAGCAGATTTTTAGCTCTTGTATTATTTATGACAACTGACTATGCGTTGCCATCTTTTAGGAGACAAATCATATTTAAATACTAAAAATAAAAAGGGGGGAGGGGAGAGAAGTGTGAATTTAAGTGTTTTAAAAGAAACAACTCCATAAAGGAAACTAACCTTCTGGCTTCTGGCTCACAAACTTTCTTCAGGAAATACCTGTGGAGAACGACAGTTTAGCAAACACCACACAACACTAATTGAAACTTGGAGTTGTGCAATGCACTAACATTGGATCATTAAAATAACCCCATCGCATGTTCTTTTAAAAGTGACTAGTGAAGAGTTTAAACAGAAGCCAAACAATGTAAATATGGTAATTTTGTTGTTGTCTACTTTAAATGTCAAGAGCTCTACTTTGTAGCCCAGTCGACATATGCAAAGAATTGAGAGATGTTCGGACTTATTTTAAGTATATATAAATATATATATTTCCCTGCAGGAACCAAAGTGTAAAAGAAATAAAAAAAAAAGGAAAAAAAAAAAAACAAAAAAACCACACCCACCCAAGAAATAAAAAAACCCTGAAATTAAAAAAAAAAAAAGAAAATATATATTAAGAAAAAGGAAAATATTTAAAATTCTTCATCAGTTTACAAAGGATACTGTGTTCTATCGTTAAGGTAATTTGCTGTTGAGAGTATCTGAATGTATATTTCATACAGGAATGGTGTTTTACAAGACTTGTAAATAATAAAAGACGAACCCATGACCTATTTTGTTCGAATGCCTTTCTCCCCCTCCCGTTTTTTGTGTTGTTGTTCCTTTGGGGCTAAAGGGTTTGGGATTTCTTTACATGTGCAACAAAGTGGTGATAAGAATGTTTTTTGATTAATAAATTTACCAAATGGATGTAATTTCTTTGTCACGGTTCACGAAATGCAATATCTTGATATGACATCACTGTTTTAAAACATGTATCATCTATATGTATATACAGTTTTCTTTTAATATGCGAAGTATTTGGTTGCATGTATACAGTGGAACAGCGCACAAGGAAAATAAAAAAATGGAAACTTTATATTTTTACTCTGGTGTTAAGTTACTGCATGTTCTTTTATCTGATGTAACTCTGGGACCCGAAATTCCTTGTGACCTTGTTCAGACATTTGGGGAGAATTATTCTTCTTTTGGGAACTTCGCTGCTAAATCTTCTGCTCTGGAGTTAGCAAGTGAACCTGGGCTTGCTCAAGCGTCGTTTTAGGGGGCCGCAGGAAGACGATAATGAAGTATGTTGGTAGCTCGCTATGACTTAGGCCTTTTTCTTACCCTGCCAAGGCCGGCAAGGCAATGTTCTATGCTGAAGGGTTTGATGTGACATTGCCGCTTGCTCCCCACCGCATGCGTCCAGGAGAACTCCTTGGGAAATGCTGGTGGTGTCAGTAGCGTTTGGGATAGGTTTTATAAGCCAAAGGGTATTTGTAACCAAAAGGAAGGTCTAAGCCAGCTGATGGATGTTGAGCCCTAAGAAAATTGTTGTTTTTGAAAAAAAAAAAAAAGGCATGTGGTGGAAAATGGACTGTTTGAAATTGTCCTTGATCTCCAAGGCAGGGAGGAGGTGGACTGAGGCGGGCAGGGGGAGCTAAGGGGAGGATGGCTGGAGGGAGAAATTTAGGGGAGGGAGGGAGGGGGTGAGAAAACCCCAAACAATAACTGAGATATGAATGTGTTTTGAGAAGAGTTTGAAACTTTCATGTTGACCCTAATCCTAAGCAGGAGAAGAAAGTACATTCTGTTTTCACATTGTTTACTGGCTTTGAACTTCTGTATTGCTTGGACATCACCCATAACCTTGAGGTGAAGGACTTACTGACTTTGGGCCTTTGTTGACAACTGCCACCTAGCCAGGCAACCTCTGCCCAAAGGAGATGTTAAAAAGTGAGCGAGGAAAAGGGGACTTTTTGTTTGTTTGTTTGCCTAGTGTACAAGGAGTGATGCCAGTTAAAAGGAGATGGACAGAGGGACAGGCAGTGGGAGAGGGACAGAGGGACAGATGGTGAGCTAAATGGCAATGTAAGCTAAGGCAGCAAGCTTCTTTTCTGGTTAAAAATTAACTGGCATTCTTAGCCAATCCCAGAGACACTTAAGCCATGGAGTTTCTCTGGTCGGGGTTATGATTTCCTAGCCCAATAAAATCGCATCCTCTGTGTTGTTGTGACAATGTGGTCGTAAAAAATGTCCGTGACTTGTCCGTTTGCCTGCACGAAATACATCTCTATAAAGGCAGCGGAGCTTTCCCCACCGAGAGGTGAGTGGCCACTTGCCCTTCATCATCCATCTGTCTGTCCGTCCGCCTGCCCGCCGTCCTGCCGCGGGGCCCCGCGGCAGGACGGCGGGCAGGCGGACGGACAGACGGCGGCGGTTTGAAGGCTGTTTTGCCACAAGATGGCGATCTTCAGATCAATGTCAAAGCCGCCCAAGGCGACGGGAGCAGCCCTGCAAAAAAAAATCTTGGCCTTTGTTCATTTTGCATCCCTGGAGCCGCACGGATAATTATTGCACTTACCGGGCTCCGCGTTACAAAAAGCCGCTCGGGATGCCGGGGGAGGGGAGGGAGCTGACGGGGCTTCTCGGTGGAGTTAAAGCCTCTGAGCTTTGGATTGGAACATGGGCGGAGGTAAGTGTTTTATCCATCTACCCTGAGTGGAGAAGGGAGAGGAGAGGGCACTGGTCGCGGTGGTCCTCAGCCAGCTGGGGTGGCCCCGGATCCAAGGACGGAGCACAAAGGAAAATAACCCTAGGAAGGAAAGCAATGCAAAAAGTTGGTGATTACGACGTGAAATAATATAGAAGGGGCTTTCTGAGTTGCAGTTGACCTTTTACTTTCTCTTCGTAAAGTTTTGGCCATTAGCGTGGAAAAACCCACGTTATCTGGAAATATTTCTTCAGAGTAACTTGTAGTTTTCTTCCAGTTATAAAAAATTTGTAACACTGGAAATATTATGAAACTTGACATTTATGTCTGGAACAGTAGGTGTCTTCAATCAAATAGATCTATGGCAACAGAAACTGCAAATGACAGACAACTCTGATGATCTTATTGGACTTGAACTGTAGTTTAGCTGGGGTCGTTTGGAAACTTTAAAGGATAGGCTGCTTCCTTGCAGCTGGACACAGGCTGTGGTAAACAAATTTTGACACACTTAGGCTAAAAACTCTTTATGTGATTGCATATGAAGTCAATGTTTATATGAGACCAGAGTTAGATTTCCTCTATCTATCTGTTTGTCTATCTATCTGTCTATCTATCTATCTAAAACAGCACATGGGCTGTAAACAAACAATAGTCACGCATTCTCATGTGCTCACGGCTGCTCTGGGTTGTAGCTTTGAAACTCTATCCTGGCTACGAGTATCCCTAACTCCAGGTTACTTTTCTCGCCCATAAAAGTTTCACTTGTTTTTGTTATGTCTCCATTTGAGAAGGGCTGGAGAGAAGGTGATATTATATGGAGGAGATACTTGTTTGGCTGCATATTTAATTCACGTGTCTCTTAGGAGAGATATTCAATTTCAAAATATATGTCGGGGGACGAAAACAAAAAGAAAGAAAGAAAGAGAAAAAAAAAAGGTCATTTACAGACAAGTAATGCAACTTGTCTGTAGTATTCTTAAAGAAAGCGCCCTTTTGCTCTCAGGGAATTGTTGCAAGTGTAGTTAAAAGCACATGCTCAGTCGGTAGAGAGCTGTTTTGAAATGCCTTTCGGAACCGATCGATTTCATCAAAGATGCTGCATTAAAAGCTCGGGAATGTTTCTCTCTAACCTCCCCTTAGCAATGCCAAGAAGTGAGAAGCAACTCCTCGGAAAATAGCAGGATGAGTTGAGGGTCCCTTTGCAACATTTCATTTTACGCCAGTCAAGTTAAACTCAGCATATTTGATCAAATATTTATTTTTCCCCTCGTTGTTTCCCTGCCCCATTCAATACTCGGCTGAATAAATCAAAGGGACCCTAGCAGCAGTTAAAGCGCCCTCTGGTTACGGATTTTTTACTGACGGCCGCAGTCACAGGATAATATTTAAAAAAAACAAACTTGTTTCTTACAATAACTGTTTATTATTTCACATGATTTGGGTTTGCATATTTTGGAGGGAAGTGGCGAAGCCAACTCAGTGTCTACACTGTGTTTAATTAATCGTGTACTCAACTTCAGCTCACATACCACATTAAAACCCCCGGGAGGCTTTTTCATAAACTCTTTGGGTTTCTGTTTTGTTGTCTTCTTCTTTTTTTTCTTTTTTGTCACAATCTTTTAATTAAATGCTCTGAAATCGAAACTTCAGGCCAAAGTGTGTGTCTGAGAGCCAAGTTGTACCGCAACCAAAAAAGACATTTGTGTATGCATCCAGATCTTTTTTAAAGGAAAGACAGCTACAAAAAGGGGAGAAGGGATACAGTTTCAAATGCCTAATACAGCTGTGCGACCCATCTCTTACAGCAGAAGGGGTACACTTAAAAGACGAGCTGGGGTATGTACGATTTCCCTGACACATGTTATAACCCGATACTGCTGTTGCTTCTGCCGGCGTTCGGGGCTCTCTGGACAATAGAAAGCCCCGTTGTTCTCGCCGGTGCCGAGGAAAGGCGAGGAGATGAAGTCCTAATGAGTTGGTTGGGTGTATTTTGTCCTGCCACACACTAGAGTTTAGAGCTCGTCGGACTTACTTGCAAAATATGCTCCTAATCCAAATGAGTAAAACGATACACATATACTATAAAACATGGTTAGGAGAACAAGCCTCCGGATGGCTGGAATAAAATTAAATCTCAGCCTAAGTTTTAACAGGATAATCCGCCAAAACAAGCCAACCTCACCACCACAACCAGCATGAAAGAATTTATAGTAAAGATAAAATTAGTGGGGCCGTCATTTGTCACCTAACTTGGCACAGACACAGTTCCTAAACCTCCTGTTTGAAATCCGCCTTCTTTGGAGCAATTCCAGGAAAAAAAAAAAACAACAAAACCAACAAAAAACCCACCACACAAAAGGAGGAATCTGGCACACACGCACGTTCTTGACAACTGACAGTTCCAGTATTAAATAACTATACTCTGATTGCATTAATTTTTGGAGCTGTATAAAACGTAATTCGCGGCTGTATTCTCAGATAGGCGGTTCATGCACTCCTGCAACAGCCTGCAAGGCCATTTATGTTTTCACGAATTGCCGTTTGCCCGTGTCTACAAATAAAAGCATATTTTAATTAGCTGGCAAAACGCGTCTATGGATTAACAGTGCTGATCTTTTGGGTTATACAAGCCAATAATAATAAGATAAATCACAGTTTAACATGATCCATTTTGCGATTTCCAGTCAGAGTTTGCTCTGGCTGAGCTGTCGGGTTTTATTTATTCCCTTTTTGTTTTTAATTTTAGTCCCACCAATAAAACGGCTTAACGACGCTATTAATGTATCTATCATATTTTTCTTAGATCAATAAAGTTTTATTTTGATATTGTTGTCTATGTACGCCATGAATTTAGATTCTCCATGAAAGCACCTCCTCGCCGGTTTTGATATTTATCAGGATTTTATTTGCTCGGTTTTATAGACCCTCGGATAGCTTTACTTACAGGAGTAGAATTAAAAAGAAAGTATTTCACGTCCCCTGGCGTCCACAATATTCTTTAAAATTTCATTTAAATGGAGGTTAAGCTCCAAGGGACACATTGTTAAGGGTTGGAAATGCAGTAGCTACACCCAGCGCATGCCAAATTAGCTCCGTTTAGTCAGAATTGACCATTATCTTTTATAGTTTCGAATCAAGCGAACATTATTAGTTTTACTTCACTGGGTTTGACGATGCTGGTTACTATTTGCCTTGGCCTTGTTAGCGATTAAAGAAAGCGGAGATAATGCCACTCCGAGCTGAGTTCATGATCTAGACAGAGCCTGTGACTTGACCATCAAACCAACAATGGACACCGCTTCTAAGACCGCACAACCGGGTCCCGCCAACGGAAGCTCCCGCAGGGCCTGACATTCTCCAAGGGCGGGCAACCCCCAGCCTTCTGCTGCAAAACCCACGAGGAGAGCCCAAGAAAACTTTAAACCTTCCAAACTGTCCCCGGCCGCCACGCCTTTTGTCTGATTTCCCTGGACTGGCCTGCAAAGAGGGAGAAGAAGCCAACTCGTGTTTCTTCCAGAGCATTTCGAGTCTTTTCATTCCGGCTGACGAGGACGTCCTTTTATAGGCCTTTTCCCCTTTTAATCCATTTTTTTTTTTTTTTAAGGGAGCTGCTTTTCTTAAAAACAGCTTTGGAAGGATTTCAAGTGTTGCTCCTTGGTTCCGTATGGCTTTTAGGTTTGCAATCCATTTCTATTTAATTTGGCAAATGCAAAATAAACATACCGCAAGAGTGGACTTCCCCGGAGTAATTTTTGTACCTGACTTGTGTAGAGAAATGGATTTGGAAGGCGGCGTTGGGGCTCACGTTTCATTTTATTTAGATCTGTATTTATAACTCTAAGCCTGTTGATAATAGCCTTCCTTTATACCAGCCAATAAACCCCCGTCTTATGTAGTATTAATTTTGTTAGCACCGATATGACCCGCGTAGGAATCTGATAAGGGTTTGTCCGTCGCACATTAACACATCGCGGGGTTAGTCGGGTTGGGAAAACACAAACAATATTACAGGACGAAATACGGGAAGGAAATAACCCACGGAGGGTTTCCATAGGTTGTGGGGTCTACCCCAGTCACTGCATCCTACGGGCCGGTCAGAAAGAAGCCGCGCTGTGATGCTTGCCCCACCTCACTGGAAAAAACAGGCGCCTTTGCATAAGGATTTTATGGGTGTTGCAAAGTTGTAGGTAGAAGCCTCCGCACGCTCCCCCTGCGCTTTCAGCGGGCGCGGAGGGAGGTTGAGGAGGACCCCTCCGGCTCGGCGGGCCCGCGGAAGGGACACTCACCTCCCGCCGTAAGGAGGAGGGGGGAGGAATTCTCCGGGGGAATGTCACTCCGCGGAAAAAGCGTTTCCCCGTGGCAGGCACACACTGCAGGGCGAGACCACGTGGGGGCTTAACAGATCCGTGGGGTGGAGGGGAACGGTTGCTCCTCGGGGCGGCTTGAAAGCTGAGGGCTGGCACCAGGGGATGCTGGGCCCACCGCCCGCTCCGCCGCCACCCTGCCCGCAGGCAGCGGCCCCGCCGCCGCCAGCGCCCTCTTGGGCATGGCAGCTGATGCCAAGCCGCTTCCATCGCCCCGGCCGGTGCTGATGCCCGGCCGGCAGCCTCTTTCCCCGCCTGTTCCACTGGGAACGGAGACAGACCAGACTGCTTCCCCCGGCAGCGTGCGGGAGAGGGGAGCGAGCCTGGCTACTCGGGGTGGCCAGAAAGCGTCGGGCAGCCTCAGTCTCCCTTTAAGCCCGAGTTCCGCGGACCAGGCAGTGAGGCGACTTCGAAAGGGCATAAGAGAGAGATGATGGACGTGAAAGCAAGCCATAATTAAACAATTCATTAGAAAATCTATCTGACTCTCTGTCTGCTTCCCTGTCTGTCTGCTGTCTGCTCCCTCCGCCACAACTGCAAATTGACTGGACCAGGCTGTCTAGTATCTCAGGATTCATCTACTTATTTCTATTATTTAGTACATTGCTTGTGAAAGAGACAGTGCTTTTGAAGAGGCAAAAAGTGAATGACCCAAGGGGGGGGTTGGGAGATAAAAATGATCGCTCAAATATAAACACATCAATAAACAGGGTCCGCAGCATCCTGCGAGGATCCATTTGAACTGCTAGCGCCTGGATTCTTTCTGTGGCATATGTCTAGCTTTATATTTTAAATGGTAATCAGACCTCTGGAAGAATCCAACGTTAACTAAAGCATTCGGAACTGCAACCGCACGATCAATCCTCCCAGAATGGCATTGCTCCCTAAGAAATTCTTCAGCGCAGCAGCAATCATTTTATCTCCAGGAAATTTAAGCCTAGCCTGGCGTCGTGGCGGTGATGTTAGGCTGGAAGCAGCCCCCTTCCTCGGCAGTTTAACGCGAGAGGCACTAGGCCCCTTTACGGTTTCCAATGATCCGTGATAAACAACAACACGTCTTTTATTTCTTAAAAAACGAGACAATCAAATAAAATGAGCAGAGCCTGAGCATAAAACACCGGGCGAGCCGGACTTTATTAATTTCGTGAGACACACACAGGCTTCCCAGGAAGGTGAGCAGGCACTGCCGCCGGAAAGCCTAACCGCGGGGAGAGAGGAGCAATAGTAAAAGCTTCATCTGGACACCGTTTCAGCCTAGGTATAATAAAAATCAGGACCGCCGGGCTATTTTATAGCGGAGAGTGTGATAAGAAAGGAGCAAAACTTGGAGACAGCACAGGCAAAGCCAGCTCCTTGCCTTTCTCCTTCCCCTTTGCTTCCCAGGATCGCGGCTCCGGCCTGGGCGCAGGCGCTTGCCCATATGGACGAAGCGTGTGAGCCAGTGTCTATGGAAATCCATATTACACATTAATATCCATCTATCTCCCAAATTCAGAGGTCGACCTGAGAGCAGCTCTGTGCATACGAAACCAGACGGGGAGGGGTTGCTGGGGAGGCCCGGGCTTCCATTGGCTGCAAGCGTTTGCCGTTGTGCGGGGGTATCTCTAATCATATTCAGCATGTTTTGCACAAGAAATGTCAGCCAGGAAGGGCTATCTGCTCCCTTCGCCAAATTATTCCACAACAATGTCATGCTCCGAGAGCCCGGCTGCAAACTCTTTTTTGGTAGACTCCTTGATCAGCTCGGGCAGAGGGGAAGCGGCGGGAGCAGGAGGAGGAGGCGGAGGAGGAGGCGGCTACTACCCCAACAGTGGTATCTACCTGCCACAGCCGTCCGATCTGTCCTACGGGCTACAAAGCTGCGGACTTTTCCCTGTTTTGAGCAAACGCAATGAAGGTGCTTCTCAAAGCATGGTCCCCAGCTCGCACCCCTACGTGTCAGGGATGGAAGTGTGGCTAGACCCTCCCCGGTCCTGTCGCATGGAAGAGCCGGAGAGCCAGCAGGCCACCTCGTGCTCCTTTGCTCCAAGCATTAAGGAAGAGAGCTCCTACTGCCTCTATGACTCAGAGAAATGCCCGAAGGGCTCGGCTGCCACCGATCTCGCTCCTTTCCCGCGGCTGAGTGCCGAGGTCAACCCAGCCGGCAGCGGCGGCGGGGTCCCCGTCCCGGGCTACTTCCGCCTTTCCCAGTCTTATGGCACCTCCAAGACCTACGGCGCGGGGTCGGCCGGGGCTGCCCCCTTCCCTCTGCAGCCCCCCAGCCGCTTCCAGACGCCTCCATCTTTGCCTCCTGTCCCGGACGCGGGGAGGAAGGAGGACGAGGAGCGCTCTCCCAGCCCCTTGGCGTGTGTCTCCCAGAGGGAGGACGAGACTCAGGCTTCATCTTCCACCGCAGAGGAGCTCTCTCCAGCTCCGTCAGAGAGCAGCAAAGCCTCCCCCGAGAAAGAGCCCGTAGGTAAGCGAATGGTGATGATGGTGATGGTGGTAGTGATGATTAAAAAAAAAAAAAAAAACAGAAAAAGAAAAAAAACTGTTGAGGATCATAGCGGCATCGCGATGCAAAAGGAGGATCCCAGCTGCCCCGCGGGGCTGCCAAGAAGCGCTGCTCAGACTGACCTTCTGAACTTCGTAATATTAGGGCATGGGGTTGCCGTAAAAATTAATGTCCATCCTATAGCTTAAACCCCTTAGAGTCTCCGCTCTGGGCAACTTTAGCCCGCATGCTGCTTAAACATATAGAAAAACAAGATCAATCTTTCCCCTGTGATGTGAAGGTGCCTACCAGATAACAGAGATGTTTGTAAAGCATCCAAAATAAGCAATAGGCAGTGCCAATAAATAAACCTATTAACTCGGTAAGTTATATTTTACGATCCAGAATGCTTTTCGGAATAACAGCCGCGCTGAAATGTGCCATCTATGAACTGCCATCAAATTAGACTGATGAATGCACCGCGAATATCCTTCAACGTCTACACTAGATAACAGGGTTGTTATTTATTCATTCGTTTCTTTATTTCCCTTTCGTCTCCCCATGGCAAAAAAAAAAAAACAACAAAACCTCCCCTTCCCTGGGTGGCAGACTTTTCAGGCGCTTCTCTCCGTCTGCGTTTCAGACGCCCTGTTATTCCTTCAGAGGGCCACACTGGAAAATGATAAGGTCAAAACAAAACAAGAAAGAGGAAAACTACTAGAGAGACAACCCCAAACCAAGAACCACCCTGAGCCATCGAGGGATCAGTGTTACCTCTTTCCTAGCCACTTCCAGTGATAGGAATAAACAGCCTGTAACGGGGGAATTTTAGTTTTGAGGGTTTTGGTGTGTTTTTTGGTTTATTTTGTTTTTTTTCCTTCCCAGAAACGGTTGGATAAGAGAGGGCCGAGGCGAAGCTCCCCGGGAAGGCAGGGAGGC